ATGTGATTCATTGAAGTCACGATCTTGCAACCGGTGTGACTTCTCTTTTTACGAACCCTGCTGCCAAAATGTGCACACTTGAAGCGGACGGGCCGTACGAGATATTATCGATATTGGGGTTTTGGAGTGCACCAATACAAAAAATCGATAATCAATTACTCAAAACCTACGACTTGCAGAGAATCACGGAATGGTTCAAAGTTAGGAATAATAGGTAAGCAAGATTGATGAAAGCAGCGTCATCCTTTCTACTCTCAAACTTGACAACGGTGAACTAACCATTGAGGAAATCACGAGACCAAGCAGTGTTTTTTACGAGATAAGTCCCTGCCATCACTTCAAAAGTGTAAAATCTGTCGTAAAAAACGATATCTACATTATCTTCAATATAATCTTCAATTGTCCTAAAAGTTGTTATAAGTTGTTTTTTTTACTGACTCTTTGTTATCCTCCTATTCTTTATTCAAATAAATGATATTTCACTATTAGTGGTAAAAGTTACAAGGTTTGGATTAACCCACCTGTTCGGATTAACAACACCAATATCAGCATCTAGGAATAAGATATAGTCATAATTGTGCAATATTGAAGCTACTATACAGTGTCGCCTGAAGAACATCTAAAAATTTACAAATATGTTAAGCGTTAACTATAGTCCTCAAAGAATAGGCTTTTAAACTTTTCCCTCTTAAAACTGAGAGATAAAATTGAAATTCACATGAATTGGTTTAAATTCTTCTTGGATGCTTCAATCAATGCTTGTTCAAATTTTCTTCCCATTCCTTTAGCACAATTTCGCCGAAAAACTATATAAATGAGTTCCAAATTCTTGGATATCGAATATTCGAATTTTCAAAATGCTTGAATGTTTTATTCGAATGAATATTCGACCACAACTATAACGAATACCCAGTTTAGGGGTAATATTCAAGTGCATAGAATGACCTAATAAGTAAATTAAATAAATATTCATTTGTTAGCTGCAAATCAAATAAAAGGTTAATTTTTGATAGGGTTTGCCAAAGCGGAAAAAATCACCTCATTATGGGGACACTCATCAAAATGTAGGTCTGCAGTAATCACAATATATTCGTATTCGTGTATACGTGCATAACAGCCAACCGAGCCTGTAACGAAATTTTGTAGCATAGTATATAAATTCATCAGTGAATTTTTAGCATGACTAGGCTTCACAGTATTATTTAGCGGAGAGAATATGAATGACGAGACGCTGTGGCTGGCCCACGTCATTGTATCAGAAAAATCTAGTTTCGTCGTTCTTGCGAAAGTTAAAGTTCATATGCGCGCAGTAGGAGCAGAGAGAAAACTATGGAAAGTTTCTTTGGTTAGCGCCTATACATAACGACCTCTTTTATTCATTGATTCTCAAATTTTAGAACAATTTTTTTTTTTGTTTTGATTATGGGATATAATTTAGGGCACGCAAGAAAACGACAAGAAAGGTTCAAATAGAGATAAGTTGCAGACGCACCCATAGCTTCGGTGTACTCAACGTATGAGGTAGCGTTGTCTATAATAGTCACTATCGCTATATTGAAAGGAGCATGTCTGACATTCGGAAAAGGACTTGAATTGCTAAAATTAATATTTATAAGATTTTTGAGCTCCTTTTTTTAATTGCACAAGGTTGCAATAAGAGGATACGTTTAGAATGGTTGCTGTTCGTGAGACTTCAGTGACGAAAGCTAACATATCATTAATTTTATACATGTGCAAATCATAAGTG